AAGAGTTGCTCTACTCTGGCCATGGTACTCTGGCTTTCCAAGGGGCAGATGTGCTAATACGGGATGAAGACCAGCTGAGGTGTGATGGAGGAAGTCTGATGCCGTGTGTCCTACCCAGCACAGGCATCAACTTTAGACTGAACTCAGTTACCCTTTGAGAAGATCAGAATAAGGCAATTTTAGAAGATGGCCTGGAAAACACAGCCAATGTGCCAATACTAGCCATCCCTAGAACTTTCTGGTCTTTGGAACATACATTATAGAATTAGACCAGGGCCAGGTATAATCATTTTGGCAGATGTAACATATGAACATTTCCTTTAAGGACAGTACAGATGACTGTTTTAGACATGGGCACATAATTGCCTGGAGGTCTACCCAATAAGGGGCCAGTATGCTCGTGTGGATTCATTCTTAGTGGTTTCCCTAAACATTTTAGGAATGATATGGAAGTATATTGTCCATGGCATGATGGATATTAAGGAAGAGTTCATGTTTCAGAAGAGAGAATGAGAATAGGTAATATTCATGGTATATGAAAGTTCATTGACGAATGGGAGGAAATGGGGCACCATTAATTCAACAACTGCTGAATATCTACGATGCACAAAGCTCTATTCTAAGTGTCAGTTTAATTGAAAAGTACAAGGTTGCAATTAAATTAAAAGTCTAATTAAAGTTGAAGAACTGAGAGCTGGTGGGATGGCTCAGTGGTTAAGTGTGCTTGCTGCTCTTGCAGAGATCCGGGCTTCCATCCTCAGCAACAATGTGGCAACGCATATCTGTCTGTAACTCCAGTTCCATGGGATCCAATGCTTACCGCCATGATGGAGTAACGGGAGCAAAATTCATCTTTTTTTTTTTTTTAAGCTAAAAAATCTCTTAGGCGGTGAGTTTTGGATGTTGCAAAGCAGGCAGCACAGGACAGAGATTCCCCCACAAAACCACTGAGGAATGGTGACGTTTCCAGGACAGTGACAGGGAAGAGGAAGTGAGGACGGCTTGGCAATCTCCCTGAACGGAGCAGAGTTCAGAGTGCAAAGACACCAGAGCGTTAGACGTCAGGGCACAGAATACCAGAGAGAGGAACCGGAACAAGAGACCAACCAAGAGTGTCCTTGGGTCTTTAGCTAAATTGTAGTCAGCTTGTGGCTGTGAGCAAACTATCAAAGCTAGAAAAGATACCATGAAAGGAGCCATTGGAGTATCCCCAGAGCACATAGGGCCGGGATACTGCTCTGGGTAGGCAGGCCTGGGCTGTGTAAGAAAGGTAGGTCAGCAAGCAGGGGGAGCCAGAAAGCTGTGTGCTGTGGTTCCTGTCTCAGGGTTCCTGCTTCAGTTCCTGTCTCAGGGTTCCTGCTTCAGTTCCTGCCTTGTTTTCCCTCATTGATGGACTGTTAATTCAAAGTGTAAGCTAAATTAAACCTCTTACTCCCTAAATTGGCTTGGTCAGTGTTTCATCACAGCAACAGAGATGCAAACTGGGAAATTCAGGTATACACTCAGGAGTGGTACAGCTGAATCACATTATTCTTCTGTTTGTTAACTTTTTTGTGGAACCCCCTTAATTATTTCCCTAGTGGCTGTTCCAGTTTTACTCCTATCAACAGAGAGGTGAATTCATCTTTCCCCACGTCCCCCAGGGGCTCATGTATTTGAACACTCGATCCCTGGTTGGTAGCACTGTTTGGGGAGGTTATGCTGGAGGAAGTACATCATTGGGAGCTGGTTGTGTTTCTAGTCTGGTCCCAATTCTAGCTCACTTACTCCATCTGCACTGGTTTGCAGTTGAGACCTGTTTCCTGCTCCTACTTCTGGGCCTGCCGGTCATGAGGAACTGTAAACCCAAATAAATGCTTCGTCCTGAGACAGAGGGCTTGCCTAGCATCCTAGTACCAAGCACAAAAGAGCCAAACAATGAAATGCAAGTCTCAGGAGGCCCAGACTTTGACTATGGTATTTTATCAGAGCAACAGAAAATTAAGTGATACACTTGCTAACAGGGTTTGTCATGTATGTGTGTTGGGGGGGGAGCGAGAGGGGGGCTGTGGTATGGAAGGAAAAAAAAATTAAGGCTATGCTGACTAGGCACAAATTACTGAATTCAGTAGAGCAAAGAACAGGTTTAGGAGAAATAGTAACTGCAACTGAGAATTTTACTTTGGAGTACTTCGAACATCCAGGGGAAGTTATCCAGGATCAAGGGAGATCAGCACATCTGCAGCTTGGGGGAGGGGCCTGGGCTCGAGCTGGAGCTTGGGGTGGGGCCTGTGTTTGAGCAGGAGCTTGGGGGAGGGGCCTGTGCTTGAGCTGGAGCTTGGGGGAGGGGCCTGTGCTTGAGCTGGAGCTTGGGGGAGGGGTCTGTACTTGAGCTAGAGCTTGGGGGAGGGGGTCTAGACTTGAGACAGAGATTTGGAAGAATCAGCAGGTTAAACCATGGACCTGGATGAGATAATGAAGAACATGTACTTATAGTGTTTCAACTTATAGTAATTTTTATTGATCTTCCAATTTTCCTTGGAAATCTATTCAAGTCGGTTATTTCGTCTTTTTGACCCCCACCCAGCTTGTGTCTAATATTAATAGCTCCCTTGCCTTCTCAAATATTGTTCTTCCTCTCTCTCTCTCTACACACATACACACACACACACACACACACACACACACACACACACACACACACACACACCCTAGGCTTAAAGCTGTCTATGCTTTCCCGAGGTTCAGGAGAGGTGCTGGGATACTCCCGGTTGACTGTACTGATCTTTGTATTCTATAATCCTGCTAAACTTGTCCGTGGGTTTCAGTAGGGTTGTTTTTTATTGCAATGGACTTCCTAAATGAATGATAATGTCAGCTATAAGTAAAGACCATCTTACTTCTTCAGTCTGTACATCTTTTATTTCTTCTCTTGCCTTACTGTGGCAGCCAGAATCTCCAATATAAAGCTGAATAAAAATATTTCTGGGCCTCCTGAGACTTGCATTTCATTGTTTGGCTCTTTTGTGCTTGGTACTAGGATGCTAGGCAAGCCCTCTGTCTCAGGACGAAGCTCCCAGCTCAGTTTGTTAAAGTGAGAAAGCATTGGCTGATTTTCAAGTGTAATCTGTTCTTGTATGTGTGGGATACATGCTTCCTGAATGTATTATTAACCAATAGATTTTATTTTAGTACAATTTAAAATTTATAGAGTAGATAGTATACACCGACTATAAATTCATCTCACCCACATCCCCACTTCCCCGATTATTAAGATCTTGCTTTAGTGGTACATTTGTTAAGTTACTATACAAATATTAATGTAGTATTTTGAACTCATCTGCAGATTGATTTGAGATCCACTATGCTGGGCAGCTCTATAGATTCTGACAAATATACAACAGCTTCAGCACTTCAGTTTCATACATAATAGCTTTAGTTTCTTCAGAATCCCCCCGAGTAGTTGCGTATTTCTTCTAAAATGGCTGGTAGAAAAAGGAGATGATGACTACCAGTTTGGGCCTTAGGTTCAGCTATAATAACAGGAACTATAGCTTGTCTCACTAACCTTCTTGAGTAGTCTTTTAAGAGTATGGCTTGATATCTTCTTCGAAGTCTTGGAGATGAGAGTATACAAGATGGAACTCAGGCAGTTCTGGGCAGTCCAGCGCACACGGAGTGAAATATTTTTTTCTGCCCTGTAATCGTATCCCTCATTTCTACTTCTCGTTCCCACACACCTGTGGTTCTGAGCTCATATTTACCCACAGCAACAATTATCCAGGCATTTTATTCTGGTTACAATTTCAGGATCATTTTTAAGACTTGGGAAGCTTGTTTTCCCAGAAGCTTAAGGACGGCAACTGTCCTTACAAGCCACCCTCTCCCTGGTGGGTTACAGAGCCTGCCTCAGGACCTCAGTTCTGCCTGGCGGACGGCTCTGGGAGGGCTCTACCAGCTGCTCTACCAGCTGCCCTGCAGCGCTTAGGGCGTTCAAACCTAAACTGGCAGCTGCATGCTACTTCTTCACACCGGTTTTCTCCCTCTTGCTCTCCCTGTTCTCTCAGTTATACTTCCTGGGATAATTTCACAAATGACCTACATAGACCCAAGACCTTTTCTTGGGCTCTCCTCTCAGGGGACCTAAACTAAGAACACTATGAATCAAATGCTTTATATATCTTCCCACCTAAGCATTTTACAAGTTTTTCTAGGCTGTGTTTATGTAGTTATTTATGAAGATTTACTTGCAGGTGATGTGAGAACATGTTTTTTCTTTCTTTTTCTTTCTTTCTTTCTTTCTTTCTTTCTTTCTTTCTTTCTTTCTTTCTTTCTTCTCTCTCTCTCTCTCTCTCTCTCTCTCTCTCTCTCTTTCTTTCTTTCTTTCTTTCTTTCTTTCTTTCTTTCTTTCTTTCTTTCTTTTTTTTTTTGGAGCTGAGGATCAAACCCAGGGCCTTGCGCTTGCTAGGCAAGTGCTCTACCACTGAGCTAAATCCCCAACCCCGTGAGAACATTTTAACTTTAGAAATTTAATCTTTTGTCAAGGCAATAAAGGAGCTGATGACAGTGAGGACTGTTCTCTCTGACCCACACTGTGATTACCTCCAATACTTCTGGTTGGTAACAGATACAAGAAAATATCTGACTTTGATAATATATAAACTATTGGCCAAGGCATAAAAAGATATAGGTGCTATTAAATATCATCAATGAATTCCAGAATAGGCATGTGTAAGTTTTAAACAATGACAGGAAATCTTAATCTTGTATTGCTTTCTGCCAGAAGTTTCTTCAAAAAGCTTATGAAACAAATGTACACAATAATTTTCAAACTAACATATTCACTAAGTTGAATAATTAGTCACATTCTCTTTTTACATAGAGTCTACTTGTGATCAGTAAGCTCAAACTAACTCCATTTAGGATGCCCATCGAATCCATCTTAGAATTTGTGGCACCCATAGCAACTGAGGTTGTTCTGTTTTTAATTGCAGAGCATTTTATTTGGTTAAGGAAGCATATTGGAAGGTTAGAAATGCTTTATTTTTATTCTTAAACAAAGGAAGGATGGGGTGGGTATGTGGCCATTTGATGGTTTTTACCACTAAGAGCTAGAGTTTAGACTCTTCCACAGAATGTAAACACATCTATGTAATTCTCATCGCCATTCAACTTAGTCACTGAAAGAAGATTCACTATCTGAACTTTCTTCTATGGCTTTTTCACTTGCACCATTAGGCACTGGAGCATCTGGCTTCCTGAAAAAAAGAAAAAAGGAAAAATTTAAAGGTTTTTCCAGCTGAAAGCAAGCACTTACAAAGTGTGAATTAGGTTCATCTTGGAGTACTGCTGCTAACAAACCTGCCAGGCCTGTGTGCTTTACCAGGAACTGCACCCCAGTGGGCTGCCTCTGACTTCCACGGGTTGGGGATGAAGTGCTATTTCCGCTGAGGCCAAGGCACTCTTGCCAGCCCTGACACCCTGTGCTCCCTCAGCACTCTGCATCTCGTTACCATGGAGACAACTATAGACAGAGATGAGATGTGGATAGGCTGGCACGGCCAGTATTAAGTCCCTGCTGCCTCAAGTGTACACTGAGGTACAGATGGAAAGTGAGGAATGGAAAGAAAAACGAAAGCCCTGGAAACTCAGAAGCAGGAAGGGTTCAAGAAGGGCTAAGAAGCACGGCAACGTGGAAAGTTTGTGGGGGAGGAGCGCCTGGTCAAAGAAGGTTCTTAATGTCTATGGGACGTTTTCACTCACAAGTTTTTTGTGAAGAAGAATGAGTTGATTAAAAAAAATACTATCTCAAAGACAGCACAACAGGAAAACCGATTGTTTAAACCCCGACTTTGCATGAGTGTGTTACACTAAACAAACATAAAAACTTATAGGACTATTAAAAGTCACTGTGAGTGACTGGACAGATGGCTCAGTTGGTAAAGTATTTCTCCTGCAAGTGTGAGGATCTGAGTTCGGATCCCCTAAACCACGCAAAAAGCCAGAAGTGGTGACACATGCTTGGAGTCCCAGAGATGGTGAAGCGGGAAGTGGAGACAGGTGAGTCCTTGCAGCTTTCTGGTCAGTGAGTCTAAGCTACCTGGTGAAGTTGCAAGACAAGCAGAGACCTCATCTCAGACAACAGGAGGAACGGCACCCACAAGGCTGTCCTCTGACCTCCAGGGGATAAGCACATGTGTGCATGTGTGCACCTACACCCATATGTGCACCACACCCAGAAACACGTCCACACCTCCCCCCCCTAATATTCCCCCAAGACACAGCGTGTTTTCAGTGGACTTCACAGTGTCTGTGCTAGGAAGTGCCCACTCAACACCCATGCACCAGGCCTTAGCTTCTGCTCACTCTTAACCAGGGAGCAAATTAAATAGGGAAAGTAAACCGCTGGAGAAACCAAGAGAGAAAAGGAAGAAAAATGAGATGCTATGTGCTCTTCAAGTAAAGTTGCCAGATTACTGGATTGATTTCTGACTCAGGTCCCTTGGCTATTATTAAAGCTTCAGGAGAGACACTGAGTAGAAGTTATCACTATAATGAGGGAATACATTGTCTGCTTGTTACTTTCAGCTACTCAGAACTATGACTAAAATAAGGCTGACAGATTTGAATGTTTGGCTTGTTACTAAACATAAAGACATGCTGGCACTGTTTTTGCCTGTCAAATATAAACTCATGTGCTCTGCTGAGCAATGTTAGACTGTGTCTTTGAGGTGGTGACACGGACCCACCAAAGAAAAGCTTTGAAGGTCTGAAGTGGCATTTCCAGGTTTGACTGATGCTCTCTCTACCTAAAATACTGATACAGTCCATCAGCTGCATCACCTTTCACAGCTGCAAGAGCTCTGAGCCGAAGGCACAGCACAGGGCATGTTTTCCCATTAAGTTTCTCTCTGCTACACTGTTAATTTCTAACATCTCCACTGCTTTTCCAAGACAGGGCCTCACAATGTAGCTCTGAAACTCACTATGTAGACCAGGCTGGCCTTGAACTCATGGATAGCTTCCTGCCTCTGTCTCCCAGAGTGCACCACTATACCTGCCTTCCATTTTTTGTTAATTTTGAAGGGAAAAATTACTACAGGGCATTAGAAATAATAAAATTACTACATCAAAATTATATTAGCATCTATGACAACTCAAGCAAATGAAGCAATGTACATATTTCTCTAAAACAAGTGCTATCTAAGAAACGGGTTGGCCGGTTAGGGTGATGCATGCCTATAATCTCACTATTTGGGAGGCTGAGACAGGAGGATTGCTATGAGTTTATGGTCACCTGGCCTTCCTAGCAAGATCTGATGACAAAAAACAAAATAAATAAAAAAAATTAAAAGGTAGCCAGGCGGTGGTGGCACACACCTTTAATCCCAACACTTGGGAGGCAGATCTCTGTTAGTTCAAGGCCAGCATGATCTACAGAGTGAGTTTCAGGACAGCTAGGGCTACATAGAGAAACCCTGCATGAAAAATCAAACCAAACCAAACCAAAACCAAAACCAAACAAACCAAAAAGGTAAAAAGAGTTAAGTCTAGAAAGGAGCACAACTTAAAATGTAGTGCAATGTGACCATTTAAATGATATTAATTCTCCTGAGCCACAAACACGAGAGGTCCTTCCATCATCTTGATCTTCTACAACTTTTGCGTCTGGTGATTTATAGTTTTCACCGTCATTAACACCTATGAGAATATTTATGCGAAGATTTGATTTTTCTGTTTGTTTTCAGGCTATCGTAAATGGGATTGACTTCTTAGCTGTTTCTTTCCATTGTGTTGTGAGTTGGGGAAAATCCCTTTCTCTACCAGTAGGTAGTCCACATTTCTTTTCCCCTCAGCTCCCAGCAACTAATCTGCTCATTCTGTAACCCGCCACTTTGCTGAAAGTGCAAACTCTTCTGGTGGGGGCCTTTTGGGTCTTTAAACTACAAGATCATCTCATCCACAAACAGACAATAATTTAACTTCTTCCTTTCCTATTTGTATCCATTTATTTCTTTGTGTGAGGTGGGGGATGGAGGATGGGGTAAGCTTATTTATTACTGGTAGGAATATCTAATCACAAGGAAAATCAATATGGAAGTTCCTTAAAAACTGAAAAACAGAATTTCCATATGATTCATATATACCACTTTTGAGCATATTACCAAGAGTGAAAATCAGCTATCAACAGCAATACCTGCATATACATGTTTATTACTACACTCCTGACAATAACTAAGTCATAAAATCAGCCTAGCTGTTCATCAGTGGATTGACAAATAAATAAAATGTGATATATACACATAATGGAATTTTAGCAACAATAAAGAATGAGATTATTTCATCCGCAAGGAACCGGAGACCATCATGTTAAATGAAATAAGCTAGCCCCTCAAAGATAAGTATCATATTTTCTCATATGTGAAATCTGGTGGAGTGGAATATATGAAAATAAATCAGGGCTATTATCAAGGAGAGGAAAATAGAAATCAGAATAAGAGAGAGTAATAGCGTGTATGTGGTCAAAATAAATTATTTTTTACAATTAACATATGTTAATAAAGAAGAAAAAACTGTAAGTGCAATCATTCACGGATCTGCATGATGCTGTACTTTTACAGTGGCTAAGAACATGGACTCTACGGCCAGGCTCTTCCAATCCCAGCCTTGATACTCCCGTGTCAGGCAACTTGGCAGAGATGACCACTCTGTGCCCAGATATCTGGCTGGATTGACATGATGACAACATGACTAACTGTAAAGTGCTGAACAACACCTGGCACAGAGTAAGCACTAATGAATGTCACCTGTGTCATGTGAGTCTCCCCATCACACACCTACCATTTTCTAGGATCTAAGTTCCTCTAGGGCTAACGTGAATACCCCTGGGCTCTTGCCCTAAAGAAGCTGTTTTATTATTGGGGGAGACAAAAATGCAAATAAATTGTTACACAGTGTGACTGGACCTGTTGATGTGGGGAAAAAAACATAAATAACTGTTTGGGTTGGTCAGGAAAGACTCAAAAGACGTGAAAACACTGGTGGAGAATTTTCAGAGAGCAGTAGGACGTTTCCAGAAACAGATGGCGGAGCCAGGATGAGCACAGTCTGGGTAGGCACGGAAATGGGAGCACCGTGCTTCACGCTCTTGGGAACTTAGGACTTGGGTGGCACAGTCTTAGGTCACTGATGCAAACAACAGCCATCAGGATGTGTGGCAATCCAGGAGGTGAAGGGCGAGAGAAGGCCCTGGAAATTCACGTTTTCATTGAAATAGCAGATCCTGAGATTCTTAAATTCTCGCTATCTTTAGAATTGACGTAAACTCAGATACTAGAAAACTCACCATCTCAAGTGCACGAATTACAGGGGCTGGGCAGGTGCACAAGGCTGTGCACCACCACTAGCACTTAATTCTGTCTCTATGACCCTAAAAAGAAGCCTTTACACACTGGCAGGTACTCTGCATTCCCCTCTACCCCCAACTCCGGTCAATTAACGATGTGCTTTTTTCTAAAGATCTGCCTGTTCAGGACATCTCACATAAATGAGATCAGAGGATGCCCATCCACTGTGCCTGGGTTCTTTCAACTAGCATGATATATTCAAAGTTCATCCATGTTGCAGCATTACATCATGTCATTGTTTTTCCTGGTGAATATTATTCTATTATATACATATACCACATTTGCTTATCCATCATTAAATGAAAGACATTAAGATTGTTTTACTACTTTGTTACTACAAACAATGTCACTGTGAATATGTATGTACAAATTTTTCAATGAATAGATATTTTTGAGGCATATGGCAACTGTGTACCTTTAGAAATTTCATCATGTATATTTCTTGTACATAGCACTATGTTACACAGGACATCTCACACAGGTGTAAACTGCCTGGTGAGCACACTCACCCTATACTCTCCTCTCCCACTCACTTCCATGGTCCACCTTGTTCCCCCCGACAGTTCTGCTCCTACTTTCATGCCATACATACATATAGATTACACGTATCTATATGTAATCCAAGAACCATAACTAAGAGAAAACATTTATCTTTGTTGTTCTTGAGACAGGGTTTCTCTGGGTAACGGTTCTCACTGTCCTCGCTCTGTAGACCAGGCTGGCCTAGAACTCACAGACATCTGTCTGCCTCTTCCTCCCGAGTGCTTGGATTAAGCCACTGCCTGGCATCATATTTACCTTGTTAAGAAAGAAAGAGATTCATATTTAATTAAGTGTATGTATACGCCTCACGCAGGTGCAGGCTGACGGACAGTATCAAACCTCCTGGAGCTGGAATTAGAGGCAGTTGTCTGTAGTTCTTTGCACACTGTAGATATTGGTCTTCAGTGAAATGTGTAGCTAGCGAAGGTCTTCTCCCATTCTGTAGGCTGTCTATTCACTGGTTAACGGTCTCCCTTACCTATAGACCTTCCTAGCTTTATCAGGTCCCATTTCTGTTGTTGGCATTATTTCCTAAGGGACATTATCTTAGTCAGAAAGTCCCTGCCTGTGTCTGTTCCTGAAAGTGATTTCTCCACATTTTCCTCTAAATATTTCAGAACTCCGGGTCTTACATTAAGTGAGGCCTTTGATCCATTTGGAGCTTATACATAAATCTATCAGTATTCTTGTTGGCTCCTTGCTGCCCAACCACATGATGGAGCAAAAATTGCCTTTAAACTGATTAAAAATAGATCTCAATTCCAAAATATAGGTGGGTTTTCTTCGGTCTGTTTTTTCACTCATTCAATATTTTTAATTGCAGCTCTCAACGACTTACTAGCAGCTGTCGGCTAGAATACATAGGGCATTTGTGTTGGGACATGTACCCAGGACTCACAAATAATAAGCACACACTCCGCCACTGAGATACACTGTCATCCCTACTTTGTCTGATTTTTTTAACTTTTATTAATTCGAGAATTAAATATGTAAGTGGTGATTTTTTTTTTTTTTTTTTTTTTTTTTTTGGTTTTTCGAGACAGGGTTTCTCTGTGTAGCTTTGCGCCTTTCCTGGAACTCACTTGGTAGTCCAGGCTGGCCTCGAACTCACAGAGATCCGCCTGGCTCTGCCTCCCGAGTGCTGGGATTAAAGGCGTGCGCCACCACCGCCCGGCAGTGGTGATTTTTAATCATTTCTATTCCTCCCTCTTCCCTTCAACTCCTTCAGTACCTACCAACTCCCTCTCAAATTTATGACCTCTTCTATAATTTATATATATAATGCATATGTATATATACTAACTAAATATAGTGCATATGTATATGTGTATACACGAGTATATATCTCATATATATATATATATATATATATACATACATACACATACATGTCCTCCCTACTTAATCCATTCAGTGTTGTTCATATGTGTATGTTTCAGGCTGACCACTTGGGGTTGATTGGATAACCCAATTTCCCCTCTCACAGCAGCTACTGATTGCCTGCAGCTGTTCATCTAGGGGTGGAGCCTTGAGGTTCGTATTTCGTCAGTGTTCTCTCTGTTCAGAGCCCTAGAGTTTGTTCTTCCCTGAAGAGTGCCTGTTGCTATAACGTAGAGCTCTGACAGACCACTAATTTACAACAATATGTCTTTGCTACAGAATTGGAAGTGGAGATGTTCAGTTTGAATAAACAGTGTATAATTTTAAAAGATCATATTCTGTGTATGAAATAATGTCTGCTGAAAACATGATAGTATACAGACAAGTAGGATTATAAACAAGCTTTGACCCCAAAACTTGGGAAATCCATGGTTTAGAGCATTCACAAGTCACAACTAACATTCATTAACCACTCACTGCTTGTCCAGAGCTCTCCTGAGCACCTACACCATTACTGCGGAGCTTAACCATTCTATTTCCCATTTTACAGATCAATTCATGGTTCTAGAGATACAAGGACAGTGTGGCCTTTCATCTCAACTGCCTCATGCAGATGTCTCTAGCCTAAGGTGGCCTGAACCGCCTTCATCACCATGAACGTGCTCCTGAGCTGCACAGGGCCAAGGCTAATCCGTCATCCCAGAGGCACAAAGGTAGTCATTACTAGGTAATACTGATATTAGTTCTGAGACACAAAGCGGTGGTACTTTTGTTTCCTGGTAAGAAAATCTAGGCATTGATTGAAAGAATTCTAAAAGGATGATTTACTATTCTGTATTTCAGGATACAACATTAAAGCAGTTTGATCTCTGAAAAAAGATTAATTAAAAGTTTCAATTGTCCCCTTAACCTAAGTATGACAGTGACATTCCCAAGTCTTTTTATGTCAGCAGCACCAAGACTAATTTTGACAAGCTGAAGATTTAAAAAAAAATAATTAAAACAATTAGAAGTATCAAACAGATACTTGTTCAGTACTTATCAAATATTTTCATCAGTTTTGTAGACATCTCAAATTCAAGGACAGGCATAATTTTCCAGTAAAACTGCCAGGCTTTCTCATAAAAACTTTTACTTTCAAACAGCATGCTTTTGGTCTCCAGCCTTTGATGTGCCACACCAGTCCGACAGCATGCTTACTGACGGGTGTTTCTTTCTCCCTCAACTGCAGTTCTGCTCTCTGTCCAGGCCAGACAGATCTAGACTAGCTCTTCCACAGTTCTATGAACTTGTCTTACTACCTGAGGATAATAAAAACAGAAAGTTTTGTTTATACTTTTAAGGAAAAGAGAATCAGCACACTCTTTACTCAAAGTTCTTGGACGAGGTTTATTTTGTACCTAATCTAAATAAAACTATGTTTCCCCTTGGATGGTACATTTCCTCCTTGTACATCACATCAAACTTCCTTCCCCAAGTGAAGGTCCCTAACTTGTGTAACCCCGATTCCACAGCCCCAGACTTCCCCTGTGAACAAGGTGGCTGTTATACTTATATTAAGCTAATGGAGATGGAAATGGTTGTAGCGGTGATTGCCTAAGTGAGTCAGTCCACTCCAGCCAGTGCCCCTGGTGGCCAGTGGCATGTATCTCTGAGGTAATGGGTCAGAAGGCAGCCTCTAGGCTGTGGTTGAGAAGCAGCTTTTCTGTAAGGCCATGCTGTTACTGGAATCCTACCCTACAACTTGGCACCCACCTCACAACTAACTGTTTCTCAACATTTACAGACAATGACATACACCCACATTTGCTAAGGGTGATATAAGAACACACTGGGTGGGTGTGGGTTTTGCCCCTGGATCACGCTTACCGATCTATTAAAGTGACAATACCTAATACTCTTAAAGAATAAGGAGTTACCTGGGCCAATGAAATAGGGGAAGGGGTTCCAAGGAGAGTTAAGACAGCATATAAAAATGTCAAAAGGGAAGAGAATGATGATCTAGTCAGAGAAACATAGGTCATTTGCAATGGTCACATAAAATGAACATGTATAGAACTAGCAAGAGCTTGAGAAATACTCCAGGACATAATGGGAAAAGCATTTACATGCAACAGTGAGACACTACATGTTAAAGGCAAGAATGACGTTATGAGCAAATACACTTGGCTTTACTGGATGGCTTGACAGAGAACACAAAACCAAATCAGGTGCTACCATACTAACTCCTCAGGTGAGAAAGGATGAGAGTCGGGAGAGCAGCAATGGGTAGGTAAGCACGTGGTAAAAGGTCAGCGATATTAAAACTGAGAAAAATCATAGTGATTGACACAGTAGGGTCGGGAAGAGGGAAGACGCAAAGGTGATCTTCAAGTTGCTAGTATGAACAGTGTGAATGAAAGGGCCATGAATCAGTTTCATTTGGGAAGGAGATGAATGAAACCATCAGCAGCCGAAGACTGGCTATGCAGCCCGTGGGGATGTTTCCAGGACACCGGCTTTCCTGTCTCCCCAGAGGGAAATATCATCTTTTTAAAGGTCATTTTTGATCTCTGTTATTATTTATGGCCTATTGTATATTTCCAGAAGCAGAAAGAATCCTAATTGATGGTAAATCTACTTATAATTATACAACTCAAGCACCAAAATAGATTGAATCCAAATGTTCAATTCTTATTAAAATACATGCCACAATCCATCTACTTTTAAAATGTCAGAAACAATTTCCAGAACACATATTAAACATTCCAGATATGCTTTGCTCAATTCAGCAAGCCAGGCTATTGTAGTCAAGCCTTTTGCTACTTGGAAACACACCAAATGAACATAAATGTTGGAAAATCCATTGTTGGCAGCTTTAAAGGCATTCTTGAATTTCACATTTTTTAAGATAAAATATGAGAAGATGACTTTTATGGTATTTCATTTCCAAAATGCACACCTTCTCCTGACGTGCTGAAGCCAAGAAAAATTCCAAAGCACACTGCTAGCACAGTTTGAATGCCCGGGTGACACAGGGGTGAATGCAAGCTCCAACCAGACAGGCTCTTTACAAGAATCTGGAGACTTGCAAAGCAGAAGGCTTGTGAGGAACCCATTAAGATCTATAATTTATTGAGATGAACCACATGGTCAGGCTGGCTTGGATGGAATGAATTATTATCAAAGCTCCGAGCTGTGATTTCTTAGCATTTCCAAAAAATATTTTATAATACACATTCAAACTGGCATCCTTTTCATAATAACCATTAATGTGCACCTAGGATACTGTTTATCCGAGTTATTTCTCAGTCTTGCTTAATCTAGGTCACTGTAGAACACATTTCTTAAGTATTATGACCTTAAGTAAAGGAGAGGTGGATAATATTTTGTCATAGCACCCCCAAAGGAGAAGTCAGTATGGGAAAAACAAAAACAAAAAACAAGAAACCCAAAGGCCCATCTACCAAATTCTGACCAGTGTTATCACTGAATCTCATCTCTTGAAGTGTGCAAGGGCTAGTTTTAGTAGCCTAGGAGATTTCCTTTTCTTTTTTTTTAACATAGCAGGGGCAAGATTTATGACGATGATAATCTCAACTATAAAACACTGTATAGGAAACAGTACAGAGAACTTGAAATGTTTTTTTTTTTGTTACAACTGACAGATTTAGTACCGTGTCAATATGATTTTATTAGAAATACTACTTACTCAAGAAGCTCTGGGTCCAGCCCTTCTGATATCATTTTGTTTCTGATTGCCATCACTGGAACACCCTAAGCAAAAGTCAAAAGATAATAATTCAGTTATTAGAAAGCCTTCTTCATTATTTCCATGAACCACCTAAAAGAATACATTGAGGTACATCATCATTTAAAGCAGGTCTTCTTTGCTTCTACTGCTGTATGTGCCAAGCATTTGAATGACCTCAGGGCACACTGATCTGATGGAATCAGCATTATCTAATCCACATAAACACAAACCAAGTCACTTAAACTATCTCATGGCCACTTCTGCTGTGCAGGATGAGGAGATTACATTCTCATCCAAAGACAGAAAGCATCGACAGCCCAGATGACTAGAAGTTTAGCTAAACTGATAGAATGAACAGTTAACTATGCTTTTCAAATGAAAACCAAAGTTTCAGAGCTTTTCAAAACATAGCACATACCAACGTAAGTGTTCATGTAATAAGCAAATATCCCGATTTCATTTAGACACCTTAGGCATGTAGAATTCAAGAAATATATTGAACATCTTCTCAACACCACTATAAACATGAAGCAAGGACAATATAGGCGATAAACTGAGAAACACCAAGAATATATGAATATCTGCATTCAGAGTAAGAATAGCAAAGTATAAGAGAAGGATACATCAGAAATGAATACAAATTTATTTGAAAAAAGAACTCATTTGATGAATAAACAAACTCCATAGCTTCACATCACTGAATGTGGATGTCTCAAAACCTTTGGCAGCAGTAAGTGGTTCCTGGAAGTAGTACACCCCACAATTAATTCAAACTGAAGTGCATGATGAACTGAACTGAGGTGTTTCGGTCAGTACTTGTCTGTGTTGTAGCATGCGGCACTACTGAAGCCTTGGTTCTTGACACACGGCATGTGTACTTTGCCCTGTGCATGCCATCAAGCCACATGGCATTAGGAATGCCACCTGACACACCTCTGCTTGGATTCAATACTATTGCACGTTATGAGCTGCAGTGCCTTTTTCTGCCCTTATAGAAACAATGGCTTAATTATGGAAGACAAACTTTAGTCATGATTGCTCACTGTTGTGCCTCGGCATATAAGTGTCAAAATAGTATAATCTGGGTTGTAGCATGGTCAAATGTTTGAAGTTACAAATTGCTGCTTGAGTTTCATTAAAAACAAAGTTTGGGTTGGAGACAGCTCAATGGTTGAGAGTACCTGCATCTCCCAGAGGCCCAGAGCTTGGCTCCCAGCACCTGTCGGGCAGCTCACAACCTGTTGGGAACACAAAGGTCCGTGTGCTTATGGACAAGCACCAGGGAAACCAGGAATGTTAAACACACAGGGCTGTCTCTTCAATGGAAGCAATGTATAACCTGTTTTTTTTTTTTTTTTTTTTTGCCCAGAAGTCTGGGAATGGATGTGGCTAATAGCCTAGGTGATCTGTGTGCAATCTGTATGGCCAGGGGCTCTCCTAGGCTCCCCAAAGCAGGATGGACTGGAAATATCAATGGTCTAGGTGACCTCTGTGCTATCTGTATGGCCAGGGCCCAGCTAAGTTCCCACAATTAGGACCAGAGGTAGCTAATAGTCTAGATAACTTCTACATATATGTATGACTGAGACCATACCAGAGCCTCCCTAGGCCCTTAAGATATCTCTAGTACCCATCTTCATGGGAAAAGTGACATGTACTTTGAGAAGAGTGTTGGTGTAATTATATCTCCTTGTGCAGAGGGGATTGTGTTACACCTGGAAACTGTTTTGCAAAATTGTACTGTACTTAGATATGCCTAAAATAAACTACCTGGTGTCAGATTCTAGAAGTCTGAATCGGTACCAACTACTGAGTTGTGTTGAACAGGATTTCCTTCTTGCCTCGTGAGGACAGTTGCTCTGTTGGCCATGGTGTCTGCAGAGACCCCCACAATAACTGTCTGGAACTCTAGCTCCAGGGGATCAGACACCCTCTTCTGGCCTCTGTAGGTATACACAAACACACACACACACACACACACACACACACACACACACACACACACTCCAATTAAAAAAATTGATCAAGGAATTCTGGCTTGTGATTAAAACAGAATTAGCAACAATTCCTGAAATAGTTTTAAAAAATTTTGCTATTTTTTTAAACTATGTGTTTATATGAAGTGGTGTTCTCATCACTGATTAGAAAATAAAATATGAGGCTGGAGAGATGGCTCAGAGGTTAAGAGCACTGGCCACTCTTCCAGAGGTCCTGAGTTTAATTCCCAGCAACCACATGGTGGCTCACAACCATCTATAATGAGATCTGATGCCCTCTTCTGGCAGAAAGCATACATGTAGGCAGGACACTGTATATATAATAAATAAAAAAATCCTACAGTATCAACATTCAACCAAATTTTAATTGTTTACGTAGATAAATGAGAACATCCATCTCTTTAGTTTAAAATTTATTTTAACCTTTAAAAGGTAGAAAACCATATACATGCTCATGAGTTGTTTTTAAACACCTTTTCATGATCTATTATCAATAGGGGTTTGATTTCTGTACCTGCTTTACATAAACAGATATGCCTGAGGTTGTATAAAAATTGTCAGGAGAAAGAGATTCAACAAACGGAAAAGGTTTAAGCAACCTGCTTCACTGTGCCCTAAATATTAGATGGACAAGTATCAATAATTCCAACCTAGAATTCTTTCCAGAGCTGTTTCCCCAAAATAACTAGTCCCATAAGGCAGAGTTACTGTGTTCTGAGTAGTGAATTATGACAGGTCTGGAATACAAAGAAAAAGAAGATAAAACTCTGGGCCTTTGATCACTTACAAAGTTAGAGGAAAGACTACTGAAACACTGAATACAAACCAAAACAAAAAGCCCATCCTGTACAAACAGACTAACATATGGAGTAGAGTAAGCAAGAGGTTAAGACAAGCCCTACTCTTGAAGTAGATTTTCTAAAACCAAGGCCTGAGTAAAATGGATTTACAACCCAAATCTACTGCTTAACTTTCTACCAGGGGATTAGTCTAAGTGTCCACCCTTCTGAGAGAAGCTTCATTTTGCAGTGAATAGTGGTGAATAGAACCACATCTGGCCAAAGGACAGAGGACGAGTGCCCGTGGAGTGCTCAGCTCCCAATGGGGACATCTATGTCACACCTGCTGTCACAGGGCCCAGGACCCATCACGAAAGAGGAGGGAGAGACTGCAAGAGGCTGGGGTCAGCTTCAAACAGTGTTTCTGGACGTGACAACCACTGCCCAGAGGAGCTCTCGGCTCCCCTGGCTGCCTGCACAAAAGCCGCATAAGATCGAACCAGTCCAAAGGCCAGCATGGATGCGGGGGTGGGGAGGGGCGGTGGGGGGCGCTTAGCAAGTGTCACTGTTACCAACCGCTCTTGGCAGTTGCTGGCTGCGTGCGAGGGACAGTCAGCTTTCTTCAGGGATGTGGCCCCTGGTAGGCTGCCACGCTTGAGTGCCTGGCCCTCCACCACGCACACACCGGCAACACTAACTGGTATCAGTGCATTAAACACATTACGGAGGCCATGAGTGGGAGCTGGGACATGTGGGGGTGGTGATGGGACCTAGTTAACTATTTAGGATAACGGAACGTAAGAAGTTTAGAACATTTCATTTTCCAAAAGCACTGACTCAAAGTCATGAAGGATAAAAGGGAAAAGAACAGAGTTCATGCCATATTTCCTAAAAGCAACAACAAGAAGAACCAGACAGCCTCTCAGCTTCTATTAAGTATGATTTGATGTCAGAAGGTCTTTCTACAAGCACAACTACGTGATTTATTTATCATATGTTAGCATAAGCCACAGGACATCACTGGAAAGGTTACAAAAATAAATTACAAAACCCAGAAAGCAGAAGGGAAGAAAAATGAGGTTAAAAAAAAAAAAAAAACCAAAACAAAACCCAAACAAAACAAAAAAGCAAAAAAACTCCAACACCAGCGTCTCCTAAACTACAGCACAAAAAGTGTATATAAGGCAAAGTGGGGTGGGTGGGTGGCGGTGGCTGGAAACACACAAGTGAGAACCAGGGATGCTGGGAGAATCAGATCAACTCCCCATTCTAATAGATTCATGGAACTGATTATAGTCAAAGAATAACAGACATCTGAGCCCGGAGCTCCATATTTTAACCTGACTTTTCTGGAACCAGTTACAGAAGGAGAACACAGAACTATCCAAAGTCCAGTGAGCTTTCTGTCACTTTTGTATATTGATACAGATAAAGGAAAATACACCCGTTTTTCAACCGTCCGCCCTGCAGAGGCTTCTAATCACACCCTGATGTAAATCTCATAAAGTCTGATGAAAAACAAAACCACCAGTTGGGCCTGTGTTCCGAGGACAGGACCTGCCGTTGTATGTGCGGGGACGCTGCTCGGGAAATGTGCTGTTTGCTCGTCTCGGTAGGACGTCAAGTAACAAGAGTGGTTCACTAGCCATCAAAAAGAAGTGTCCAATTTCTAGTCACGAAGAGACAAAGCTCCTGGTGGTCTGAGGAGGACACAGGAGACCTTGAAATGAAGTCTACGGAACTGTGGGGTTTTCTTTGGCAAGCGGTAAGGGCAGCCTGTCCAACAGAAGTAATGAAGGGGAGAGGAGGCAGCCATGGGTCTGCATTTGCGTCACTGGAGAAAGTGTGTAAAGAAGCCATGCTAATGAAATTAGAATGGCAGCGCTAATGGTTAAATGCTAGTTTCTTATATCACAAGAACTGTTGGGAGGTCTCCAGGCCTGCCAATATTTACACAATAATCTGCTGTTGTGTTAATGGGAACCAAGCTACTAAATCTCTCTATAAACCATGCTGAAATTTTCCTAAAGTTTTAGATCTGAAGGAAAAAAAAAAAAGAGCTATGCTTCTTGAAAAAAAAATAACAAATAACAAAACCAAATCCTTATATTTTAGGCCTTTTTCCTATCATTTTATGAATTTGAATCCAATAACTTAGTTGTAAGAAGTGGAAACCATGAAGTCCTTCCCTTACATAGAGCAAGCATAATACAAGTCTACTGAGCTGACAGGAAGGCAGAACTTGTTTTTCAGAGGGAGCAGTGGGGAAGGACACCTGTAACCCAAGCTCTCCAGGCTCAGGCAGAAGGTCCCAAGTCTGGGGCCAGTCTGGGTTACACAGCAAGGCTCTGTCTCAAAACCATTTTCCACTTGCAAAGAAAGAGGTGTGCAGAAACTGTGGGATGTTCTGGGCTGGAAAAGAAGCCACTACATGCTAATGCGCTTCTATGACGTGGTGAAATGGACTCAACTGTATCTTTGCCTTCTGATGTTCCAAAAGTGCTACTTTTATTCATTTATTTAGGTTTGTTCAGGTGTTTATTTTGAGACAAGATTTCATGTAGCCCAGGCTTGCCTTCAAATAAGTTATGTAGCTTGGGGCTAGCCTTGAATTCCTGATCTTCTGCCTTCACCTTCCAAGTTGTGGTATTACAGACATGCATCTCCATGGTTAAGAATGCCATTGTAAAAATTTATTGGTTTTTATTTTATGTGCATTGGTGTTTTGCCATGGATGTCGGGTCTCCTGGAACTAGAGTTACAGACTGTTGTGAGCTGTCATGTGGGTGCTGGGAATTGAACCAGGGTCCTCTGAATGAGCAGTCAGTCCTCTTAACAGCTGGGCCATCTTTCCAGCCCAAGAATGCCATTTTAAAAACACACTGCATTTTATAAAGTGGTATGGTCTTATGTCAAGGATAAAATTTTCATTATATATATATTACATATATACTCGATAAAAATATATATAATTTGTTTGCTGACCAAATCATAAAACAAAACACATACTCAATGATTTTTTTTTCTCCTGGAAGCTTCCAGTAAAGGAATATGAAATGACTTTAAATAAATATCTTCTAGACTTTAACACAAATATAGCTATCTAAAGAAGGAAGCTTTGCAAGACTCTGTAAGACAAGTTACAAAGACTTGGACAGATCTAGAAAATGCTGTGCTCCCATATTAATGTGGAGATTGTTCCTTCTAAGTGTTTCTATCTTGAACCTAAATATGTATGCGGGTCACAAATCTTGCCCAGTACCAAACAGCCATTTCTAGGAAAACGAGTAGTGACTGAGTTCTTTTGCAAGGATTATTTCAAGAGATGAGCATCCTTCTCATTGACTGCTCATCTGCCATCTTCACAGACGCAGGGACAGCTCACAGGAAGAAATGGGTAAAGGCACACCAGCCATTCTCAGGGCTCAGGAAGTTGGTAAGGCAATCCCTGTGACTTTATTC